GGTTTGGAGGAGGTCTTGAGAGAGTGGAGTCCTGCGTGAATGTGTATTGCTGACATGGGCATGGCCATGTGTCAAGGACCTCATTCCTCAGTCCCGTGATAGTGGCAAAGTCTTACCTGGATGAGGCTAAGAGGGATGGCAAAGCTCTCCTCCCAGACCTGAGTGCAAGCATGAGACCAGTGTGTACAAAAACTAGCAACTGCAGCTTCTTCCTCCCAGGTGACGGTAGCCCTAGACTGCTTGCCTCCAGAGATCTCCTGCCTACAACAGCCAACCTCTCCCTGTTGGCTGAATTTCTGGGTTGCCATGGTAGTGGGTGTGACTCCATCAAAGCACCCACACCCCACTGGACAACAGCTTTTCTGAACATGTGTCTATGTCTCTGTCCTTTCTTCATTCCCTCGCAGTCCCTAGTACAGGTTCCTGTGAAGATAGTTAGGGCCCAGACCAAGAACTTAGGGTCCTTCAAAAGCAACAACCTGAAATTTTATTAATTATTAATTAACCTCTAACTAGACAATCCACTATAACTCATGGAAACTATTTTTTCTTATCTGGAGTCTGTAGATGCTCTCTTCATTTCCCATCAGGCCCTCTGAGTGAGGCCTAGCCCCAGTTCATGAATGTTCAAATAGGCTCCCTAAAATGTTAATGTGCTTAGGGGTTTATTGTTTCTGTTTTAAAGCAAACAATTCCTAATCTTCATGAGCAAGTGCTGAAAAAGCTGTGTTTTCCATGGAGGTAACAGGCACAGTGTGAAGCAAGTCTCCTGCGTTGGGACACGAAACTTGAGCGCCTAGACAAGTCATCTGTGTTGAAGTGCTCTTGTAAAAGGAAGCAAATGTCAATAAAAATAGGAAGAAGAAGGCAGAAAGTCCAACTCACTAAAATATAAACTTGACTCAGAGTGCTCACATGATGCCACTGAAGAGAAGTAGGGCTCTGGTGTTGAGATGTTTATTTGCATTGGAAACCCTAGGGGAATGATTGTGACTCTTAACTTCTGTGTCAGTAGTAGTGTGACCTCTGTGTCAGAGCACATATCACTACCAGAGAAGGTGGCACAAGAGGAACTGAGAGTGTCACAGTTCTGGCAGCTTAAGTATTGATGAACATCTAGGTTGAGTCTGTTTCCTTGATATTGTGAACACGACTGTAGTGAACGTGGATAAGAATCTAAGTATGTAAAGTCCTGTGGTTGTACACCCGGGAGTTGTACGGTAGGGTTGCATGGTAGCTTTGTGAAAACTCTTTGAGAAAACTCCGTGCTGGTTTTCACAGTGGCTGCTCTAATCTATACTCTCAGACACAAACAGTGAGTGCATATGGGCTCCGCTTTCCCACATCCTCACCAGCATTTGGTGGCATTTGTTTTCTTGATGGCAGCCATTCTGATAAGAATTGGAAGCTCAAAGTAGTTTCAGCTGTGTTTCCCTGGCAACTAAGTATGTTTAAAGTCTTCAGGAGTATTCACTGACTGCTCATCTCACTTTCTTGAAAACTCATCTTCAGCTTCTTAGTCCATTTTTAAAGAATTGTTTTCTTATTTAGCTTCTGAGTTCTTTATATATTCTGGGTATTAATGCTCTGCCTCCCATTCTGAAGGCAGTCTTCACTTTCTTCTTCGGCAGTTTCAGAGATCCTATGCTAAGGCCTTTGCTCCATTTGGAGTTGATTTTTGTGTAAGGTCAAAGAAAAGTATTTAGTGTCTCATTCCTACATGAAGATGTCAGGTATCCCCAGCACTATCAATCTCTATGCTTTGGGCATCTTTGTCAAGAGTCAGTTGGCTGTAGCTACATGGGCTTATGTCTGGATACTTTATTTCATTTGTGGATGTACCTGCCTAGGGGGCAATAGCACCCTGTCCTTTGTAGTATAACTTGAAACTAGGTATGGTGATATTTCCAGCATTACTGGTTTTTCTCAGGATTACATTGGCTATCTGAGGTCTTTTGTGCTTCCAAATTATTCAGACTTCTTTTTTCTATTTCTATGATGAATGGTGTTGGCAGTTGGATGGTGATTGCAGTGAATCTGTATGATTCATTCAGTAAGATGGCCATTTCATGCTGTTGAAAGCCATGAGCCTGGGAGAGGAGGTTTATTGATGTACTGTCTTCTTCAATTTCTCTCTGGAGTCTTTTGAAGTTTCCATTAGAGAGGTCATTCACTTCTTCCGTTGGGCTTATTCCAAGTCATCTTTGTAGGCAATTTAGAATGAGATTGTTTGCCTGTATTTCCCCTTGGCATGTTTGCTTTTGGCAGATAAGAATGATGCTGATTTTTCTGTGTTAATTGTTTAATCTGTCACTTTGCTGAAAGTTTGCACAAGCTCTCGGAATTTTCCTGGGGGCTGAAGAGATTGATCAGTGGTTAAGAACACTGGATGCTCTATAAGAGGACCTAGGTTTGATTTCCATTGCTCACAAGACAGCTCACAACTGTCTGTAACTGCTGTCCCAGGGAATCCAACACTCTCTTTCAACCTCTGCAGGCATCAGGCATACACTTGGTGCAAAGACATACATTCAGGCAAAACACTCAAATGCATACAAATAAATGGATCAGTTTAAAAAAGAATATTCTGGTGGAGTCTTTAGGATCTCTTTCACACAGAATCATATTATCTGCAAATAACAATACTTTGACTTTTTCCTTTAATAGTATATTTTTTCTATTTGCTTGTCTTCTATTGTTTTAGGTAGTATTTTCAACACTACATTGACAAGATGAAGCCTTGTCAACCTTCATTATATTACTGATTTTAGTGCAAATACTTTGTTTTTTCCCATAAAAGTATTAATATTCCCAAGCATAATATTAATTTTTACACTCACCAGATATAGGCTTTTTATGTTCAGATATGTTTCTTTTATCTTGTGTTTCTTCAGGATTTTTATTATGAAGGGATCTAAGTTTTTGTCAAGAAGTCTTTTCTGCATTTATCAAGATGACCATATGACTGTGTCCTTGAGTCCATTTATATCATGTATTATAGCTATTGATTTGCATATATTGAACCACTTGTCCTAGTTTGCTTTCTGTTGCTGTGATAAGGCACTGACCAAAAGCAATTTGGGAAAAACAGAGTTTATTTCAGTTCTTTGGTTACATAGTTACATCATCAAGAGAAGCAAGAACTGGAGCCCAAAGCGGTTCCTGGAGGTAGGAACTGAAGCAGAAACTATGGGGTATGCTGCTTACTGGATTGCTCCCCATGGCTGACTAAAGGTGTTTTCTTATACAGTCCAGGACCACTTGTTCAGGGGTAGCATGTCCCATAGTGCTCTGAGCCCACCCACATCAATCCTTAATTAAGAAACTGTTCCACAGAGAAGCCCACAGGCCTATCTGAGGGAGTCAATTCCTCAACTGCAGTTCCCAGGTGATTCTAGTTTCTGTCATGTTGATACAAACTAACCAGCCATCATTCCCACATCTCTGGAACAAACCTGCTTAATCATGATAAATGATCTCCTTGATGTTTTCTTGTGTTCCGTTTCCAAGGACTTTGTTGGTTTTTTTTTTTTTTTCTTTTGCATCTGTGTTCATCTGTGTTAAGGGGGATTGATCTATAATTTTCTTTTTGGTATGTGTTTTCTGTCTTTATCTCATTTTGGTATCAAGATAATGCTAGCTCTAAGAAAAAGTCTGACAGAATTCCATCCTTTATTATTTATGTTTAGTCTGAGGAACACTGGTGTTTCAATTCTTTAAGGGTCTGGAAGAACTCAGCAATAGCTTTCTGACTCCTATTCATAATTTAGTGTGCATCATACTTCCCGTATCTACTATGTCTGATGGACATTGGGTCTGTCATTTGCTGCTACAAATGTAGCTTCAGAGAGCATCCAATTCACTCTTCTTTCATGGACTTGTGTGATAACATCACTGGGATATGTCCTAGAGTGAACCTTCTGAAACCCAGGACACATAGCTGACTGAGGATATTACCAGGGTGTGTCCTGGCTTAGCCTTATCACTGTCATGATACGGACCTCCTGGCTTCCCTTGGGAAGACTAACTTCCTGATAGGAAACTGATTTTTCTGATTATTAACTTACTGATTCATTTCATCTGACTTGCAGTAACTTTGTGTGTGTGTGTGTGTGTGTGTGTGTGTGTGTGTGTGTGTAAACTGTGGTGCTCATGGTGAGGTCAGAGGACAACCTGCTGGAGTCAGTTCTTCTTCCACTGCTTGCATTCCAGGAATCAAACTCCAGGGTTAGGCATGGCAGCAAGCACCTTCACATACTCAGTCAATTTCCGGGATTTTTTTTTTATCTGTCCCTCTTCATTTCCTGTTGATTTCTGATGTTTTATTTCAGTCTCACAATGTTATTCAATGTAAGTGAGTAACTTCTACCCTACCCCACTAGTTGAAGCATTGCTTTTCCTTTTTCACTGGTCATCAACACTTTCTCATCAACTCAAAAACAATCACAAGTACTGGGACAGCGGGATGTTCATATATGAAAGAATCACATTGGGCTCTTACTTCACGACCTATATAAAATGTAATTCAAACTGGATCAGTGATCTATATAAAAGGCACAAACCTTGAAAGCCTTGGAGGGAAACAGGGGCAGTTCTTTGTAATCTTGAGTTTGGCTGTGGGATTCTTAGCTGATGGACAGATAGACTGAGTGACAAAAACAATAGAAAATGAGTAGAACTTCATTGAAAAGAAATCTGTGTACATTCAAGGCATCATGAAAAAAGCAAAGACATAATGTATATAAAATATCCAGGATAGGTAAATCTACAGACACGGAGAGCTTGATGGTTACACAGACAGAAGAAGGAAGAATGGAGAGGAATTGCTTGATGGTGACACAATGTGATTGAACGGGAATGACAATATGATAACGGCATTTCACTGACAGATGCTGATGCTTACCCATAAAGTGTTGATTTTGTTAGAAGAATAATGGCAATAAAAATAAAAAAGAGTCACAATAGTAGTACTATCCAACCATTAATAAAACTAATGGCACTCTTCTTTAAAAATTTCTTTATTTTTAAATAAACTTACATGTGTGTGAGTTTGAGTGAGGATACATGCACCGTATGCATACAGGAACCAGCAGAAGCCAAAACATCTGTGCCATCTCTCCAGCCCCCGTTATGTTACTCTTACACAGTGAAATCACTTACAACTCCCTGTAAGTGGCACAGTAGAGCCTATATAGCACATACAGGTAAGATATAACCCTGACCCTTGGTGACCTTGGAGTCTCATTGGGTGATTAACCAAGATGCAGAAGGTTAACAGATAAAGCAACTGCTCTAAGTGGCACAATTAATGTTCAAAGTGCACATATGGTTGGTGAGAAAAAGAAATTTATTTTAAATAGCCTTTACTGACTTCATAGAATTTAAGTATAATAGTGATAGAAAACCACGATGGTCTACACAAGCATGTCTTCTACATGTTCAAGCTAGCTGTCATGACAGCTAGAGGAGTTGAAAGCAGATCTGAAGGTCAGCAGTTAGAGGACCACAGTGTCTGCACCTATCCACAACCTAACACAGTGTTGCACCCAGGGCAAAATAAAGTTAAAATGTGCATTAAGGACCAATACTAAGAAAACTGCAGTAGCTGTTATCATCCACAGAAGAATTTACTACCATTCATACAGGTTAAGTCAAGTGATGGCAAGAATTGAGGAGCCAGGAAAGCACAGTGTATATAGCTGGCATGGCTTGTCTGTGCAGGAGTGGGGGCCTTTATTTAGGATTACCTTGGAGAAATTTGTAGGCTATCTTGTGGGATTTGTGTGTCTCCTTTGTTGTTTACACAACAGAAAACCAAACCACTCTGTGGTCCTGAGACCTGGAAAGGGCACAGATGAGTGTTAGGATATGGGGAGATAAATATGGGCATCATAAGATCAGGCTGCCAGGAGGAAAATGACCTCATCTTGAATCATGGTGTCCCCTATATGCCCGTCCTCACAGAGCTGTGGGAGTGGTGGAAATGCTGAAGAGATAATTATTCCTCACAGAGTAAATGTGCCTTTATGGAGATGAGAACCTGCCACAGAACAGGAGGCTATTGGTTTTGTTGTGCCTGATGAAGAAAAGGAAGGGGTGGTCTGCACAGAATGTTGGGACAACAGATGCACAGCAAAATTCAATGACAGCCGATGCTGCTGCAGCCTCGGTGCCTTCTTCATTGACCTCCACAACACTCTTGTGGACAAACTTGGACACGCACAGGTCTCTCTCTGGAGACATTCCCGACAAGTCAGCCTTGTCCCTGTGGAAGACATCCACCATCCCCAACTGCTGAAACACGGACTCCATGTCATAATCCTCTTGCAGTTTAAATTTTGGAAGGAAAACCTCAACATTAGTGCTCTTCATAAAGTCTGGTCTGGTCCAGGCTGTTAACTTCTCAAAAGTGAGACTGTTTTCCAGCTGACAAAGCAGAATGAGAGACTTTCAGATTCACAGTTGAGGTCTCAGCCAGAACCACATATCACTTCCTGCTCACAGTATGCTCCATCATCCTACAGGGGACACTGCCTGTTCAGATGGTCAGCCAGTGTGAGGTCTCACTGTCCTGCTAGCTTGTATGTGGCTTCCCTGGTGGGTATGGAGACCAAGGAATTCAGGGTTGGGAAGACCTAGCCGTCCTCTCCTAAATCCCTTCTGAGACGCCTTTTACTCTCATGGGTGTCCATGTACAGGTGTTTATGGTTTAGGTTGTGTTTGCTTTTTATTTTTTTAACTAGACTTAGTTTTGAAGACAATAAACCATAGATGATAAAAAACAAAAATAAAAATAAAAATTGGCAAAGACTCATGGTGTGAGTCACACTAGAAGGGAGGGCTATCCAGGCTGGGATTCTATGTTTTGTTTGTGGGCTATTAATGGCTTGAATGTAAATTCTGTCCAAGGGTTCACCCTTATTCTAAAGCTGGTGGTAACATTTTAGGAGGCAGCTATAATTGAGGCATGAGGGGGTCTAGTTGAATGAAGGAAGGACCTATGAAGGTCATCCTTGGTCCTTTGTCCCTTCTCCTTTCTCTGCTTCCTGTTTACTAAAGGTCTGTAGTTTCTGCCACATGCACCTGTCACCATGGAAACCATTGATGGACCAGGTAACTTGAAATGAGCCCTCTGAATCTGTGAGCGATGCCAATCCCTCCTCTCCTAGGTATTCATGCCAGGCACTTTGTCAGTGACGAAAACCCAGCTAACACTAGAGAAGCCATGCTGCAGTCAAGGAGCTAGATGGCAAGAGCCAGGGGAGCTGTTCTGCTTACAAAGACCCCTTAGATAATGCTCACTCCAGTGGCCTCAATTCAGAAGATGGCTGGCACACTGTGGGGTAATCTGCTGCAAAGAAGAACAAGATGTGTCATAATGATGTCCCTGACTCTGTCCTCGCCAGGTGGCCTCTGCTCTTCCACTTTGTTAAGTCAAAGTGCTAGGTTTCTTCTATTTTGTTTCTCAGATATTAAAATAAAGCAATAACAAAGATCATGATTTAGGTTATATTTACAGAGGGGGGACTATGTTCTACTCACTGTGCTAGACTTATGTCATATGTCAAGGTCATACACCCCACAATGGGATTCTCAGACACAGCTTTGATCCCAGGACACAGGGACTGTACACAGCTCGAGGCTCAGTCTGTGAGTAGGACCCACTCAAATGGCAGTTGGAAAGGTAAAAACATTGAATTCTGTCCTAATGTCAAAGGACAATGGGGACAATGGATTCTTCTAGTAGACATTTAGAGTGGTGATTGCTAAGGACTCTCCTGCCTCACCTTGCTGAGGTCCACACCATCATCTGGGAGCAGGACCACCATGCTCAGCTCCATGCCCTCATAGGGCATCACCAACACCTGTGCCTGTACTTCATTCACATAGGCGAGGTGAAAAGTGTCTTCCCGACACATCATCTGCACTGGCCTTTTCTCCTTCTGAACAGACAAATCAAGAACATAAAAAGATGTTATTGAGAGAGGTCATAAGGTTTCTAAATGAGCTGAGTTGATGCCAGGAGTGCTTTCACCATTCACAATGAAAACGCAACCATTCATGGTCCAGTGAACACTTAGTCAATGTCTGCCAGCCTCTTCCTGCTTTCATAAAAAAAAAAATGAGTGTAAGCAGATATGGGACTGTTGTAGATAGGGTTTCTACAGTTGTAATAAAACCCCATGACCAAAAGCACCTTAGGGAACAAAGAGGTTATTTCATCTTACAACTCTCAGGTTACATTACATCACTGAGGGAAGTTAGAGCAGGAACTCAGGCACAAACCAGGGAGGAATGTTACTTATTGGCTTGTTCCCCATGTATTTTTCAGACTGCTCTCTTACATAGCTCATGACCTCCTGCCCAGGATTGACTCTACCCACAGTGGGCTGGGCCCACAGCAATCACTAATGAAAAAAGTGTCTAACAGACTTGCCTCTAGGCCAGTCCTATAAAAGCAATTTTTCAATGTAGAGCCTTTCTTCTCAAATAGATAGTTCTAGCTTGTGTCAAGTTCTCTCTCTCTCTCTCTCTCTCTCTCTCTCTCTCTCTCTCTCTCTCTCTCCCACACACACACACACACACAAAAACTACAGAATTCTCTCTCTCTCTCTTTCTCTAATACACACACACACACACACACACACACACACACACACACACACCACAAACAAAACAAACCCACAACTAGGACAAGAACTAACTATAGAAAGATGTTGCATTCATTACACAGAAAAAAAGAATGTGGCATTCAAATATTAATATTTTAAAGTCCTACTTAGTTTTAAAATAATCCACAAAGGCTTTCTCCACAGATTGGCACTAATGAGATCTAGCTGGACCTTTAGGTGGTAGGGCCTGATGGGAGAAAGTTAGTGTTGGAGAGTGGGTGTCCCTGAAGGGGATTTTGGCTCTGCAGCCCCTTCCAGTTTCTCTCTTTTGCTTCCTGACTGCTTCGAGCTGAACAAGCTTCCCTACGCATTTTCACCATGCTGTACTGCATCACCGCAACGTGGAGTGATTGGGACAACTGACCCAGCTAAAATTTCTGGAATCATGAGCCAAAATAAACACTAATGTAAAGATGACCATCATATCAGACGTAGGATTTTTGTCATTTACTATGGTCAACCATCATATCTAAGGAAACAGCATAATGAACTATAAATAACAGCAAAGCGTTCATCAAGTAGACTGGAATGCTTTCACAGTGGTGTGAACGGGACTGCACACAGATCCATCCTCTCAGAAAACAGCCTGGCAGCAGGAGCACACATGCTCAAAGGTACACCATGGGTTACAACCTTCTAACCCATTACAGAGCAGAGAGCTCCAGATCACAGGCACTCACAGACTCATGTGCAGCTCCATCCTGCCAGCCAGGCAGACAGAAGGAAAATCCCAGTTAAATTACAAGTTGGGGAATGTCTAGACAGATCTCCATGTATCTCTTTGATAAAATTAGTCTCATGACCCAAGACAAAGCAGAAAATTCTCTTCAACCAATTATAAGATAAGGGCCATCTGGACAGAGCCTCATGAATCTTCCTGTGATTTAACCCAGTTGGTTCAGTTCTCATAGTCCAACAATCTTTTTTAAATATAGAAGTGTGCCATCAGGGAAGATTTTAATTACAGTGGTACGCTAAAAATAAAAATTTTCTACAGACCATGAATAATACATATTAAATTTCCCAATAAAAGAATTCATTCTCTTATAAAGTTTTAAAACTATTACTAATAAAAAGGGAACGGGGGAATTTAACATTCATAAGGCTCCAAAATGTATTAAATTATATTTTATAGTGATTGGGAAAAGTATTATAGAATCTACTTTAATTCAAATTTTACTCCAATTAAGATTGTGATCTTAATCAAATGTTTCAACATAAGAAATCAATATATACTGCTTAATAATGATAAATTGGCCAATAATTTAAAATACTTAATTTAATTTAAAAATTAAATAAATGTATGTTTGTTTCTACTCTGCCTTGTGCTCCATACAAGTATTATACTACCTTAACATATAACTTTCTGTTTTCTTGAACTTAAAGGAAAATTTAGTTTCTAGAATGAAGCAGGAGCAATAATTTTACAAGGAATTATCAGGACATGTAAAAGCCACAAACAGAATCTAAAATAACAGAGGTTTTAAAATATTCTTTATTCCTATAAATTTTTCCTATAGGTATTAACCTTTCATTCAGAATTGTAAGTCTCAAATGGTTTTCTGGTTTTTTTTCTCTCTCTTTTTTTTCTGGGCTGAGGATCGAACCCAGCACCCCACACAGGATGTGCATTTCTGCCACTGAGCCATATTCAGGATTCCACATTTCCATGCAAGCTCTTCATCATACTGGCAAGAATTTGTATCCTATTCCTTACCTTGTTAATTTTAAAGGGCATTTCCATTGTGCAATCTTTGTGAAATTGTTGATGCCACCTTCCTTTGAAATACAAGGCATTGACAAAAACCAGCCTGGTCTCTGAATCAACAGAGCATCCTGACAGCAACTCTGGAATTTTCCCTTTTGAGGAAGCAGAGACTTCATTCAGGTTCATTTTATACACATGTGAGAAATAAACTGATGTGACATCTGAGTAGATCCAAGCAGCTTGTTTTCAAATTTGCTGAATATGGATAAAAATATTAAAACTAATCAAAGCAAGACACCAACACCCATGTCGGCCTTAAGGTCGTTGACACTGGAGGAGCATACATAAGGTGATGATGGTGAAAGACTTCCAAGTCTCTCAAGGAAAACAGGTTTGGGAAAAGCAGAAAATGTGACTCTGGGATGGAGAACAAAGAAGCAGGAAATGTGGAAGGGTCCCAGGGGACCAGAGCTCCCACTGGGTGCTAATGCTGCTTGCCATCTTGATTGGATCTGGAATCAACTAAGAGACATGCCTGTGGGCAGGACTGTGAGAATATTTCCCAGATAGAGTAACTAATGGAGAGGATGCTCCCCAGAGTGGGCAATTCCTTCCTGTGCTGCCCTGATACAAAGGACTGAGAGAGAAGCAGCCCTGCTTTTGTCTCCTGCCTTCAGTCCTTGCTGGTGAGTGCATCTGCACTGTTCACTCCTCTGAACTGTCATTTTCAGCTGACACTGGGGCCCAGTAGCTTTGGCTTTCATGTGGACTGAGACTCGTGGCTCTTTGGATCCTCTAGGCTTTCCATGCCAGGCTGAGATTGCTGAGGTCTCCAGCCTCATAGACTAGGCAGCTACCAGAGTCTCACCCTTTGCACGTGCAAGTGGTCATTGTGGGACTACTCAGCCTGTATTGTGTATGCCAATCTATTAAATCCCCTTAGTAATATTTATTCATTGTGCTCTGACTAATACACTAACATTTAATACAGCATCTCACCTACCACTCCGTCATCATGCCCAGTTCTAACACAGCACAACACATCAAAGGCTCAAAGGCAGAAAGTAGTTTGTGAGGAGGTATGGCTATTATATACTTTGGAGTGCTGTCCATCCCTGGAAAAGATGATGCAGGTCAGATTCCCTTCCTCTATATTAAAGAGAATCCTTCCAATGGAGAACAGAATCCTTGCTAACTAACAATATCAAGAGCACACAAGAGGTAAAGACTCCAACAAGAATTGGCAAATAATTGCTGAATCTTTAAGACTCTCATTCTACACACACACACATACTCTCTCTGTTAGCAGAAATTGTAATGTGTCTAGTAGTACAGAGACATCTGAAGGGTTCAAATGATCCCAATGGTCCCCAAGACCAATCCTGGAACATGTCATATCAGAGATAAAAACAAATAAGGTTCAACCGCAAATGGGAAGCTCTTTTAGGCCAATATTACTGAGCCTCCCTGACAAAGTGTCTTCAATGGAAACCATGTCTAGTTCCATCAAATATAAGTAAGGGGTCTGGGGCAGGAAATGTGGAAGTAGAGACAGGAGTCCTCTTCAGAAGTAAAGGTGGTGAGAGCTGAGGCAACACAGACTGTGTGAAGAAGCAGCCCCAGGGCAATAATACAGGGAAGGTCTCCATGTGCATCTCAGTCTCAGAGATGGTGGAGTCACTTGACCCTGATACCCTGTAGACCATCCTTTTATCCTAATGAAAAGGAAAAAAAAAAGCCTGTTAGACTGGAAATTGGGTCCATGAGTTTTCATGGTATTTGTATCAGCCCCTCTGTCCTGAGGAAATGCACAAACAAGTCTGTTTTTAAAATGTGAGTGTCTGAGTAGAACCTCCATGAATTCACTGAGGTCAGAATTATACCAGGCAGCCTAGCAAGTCTGCATCACTTTGACTCTCTGAAATGACATGAGATTAGTCAGTAGGGGGCAAGGAGAAATTAAGAGAAAGAGGAGGGAAGGAAGAAGAGGGAGGGTTGGATGGAAAGGACAAGAATGTGGGGTGTGAAATAACTTGAAGTTCTGACCTTCAGTCTGTTTGGAGACCCACGTGTTTATGTGTTTCCTGGACTCCTCTGGAGCTTTGACAAAGGACAGCTGCTCCATCCCCGAGTCATAGAACTGAAGACAGGACTCCTTAAAGGCCTTTGGAGAGAAAAATGTTCAGGGAGGTAACATTGCAAACTATAGTGTCAGCAAGCTTCCTGACTGTCTGATACTATAGCATTAAAATACAAACCAAAACTAAACTAAAATTAGTGGAGATGCCACTTTAAGCAACAAACATCTTTGTGCACTAGGCCATTGTAGCTAGGAATAACCAGACATGAATAAATGAAAATAACAAGTAGTCAAACTTAAAATATTTGAAAATATTATTATAGAATTGTGGGAAGCTTAAGGAATTGAGGAATTGAGTCTCACTATTTGAACTAGGCTGTCCTAGAACTTGTGACCTTCCTGTCTCAGCTTTCCAAATTCATACATTATAGATGTGTACCACCACACTGGCTAGAACTTGGACCTTAATTTTCTCAAGTTCTTTAGGGTTGTTCTCCTAGGACTACAGCAATAAATATTTTAAATACAATTGTTTTCATTCTACTGACACAACTTACTGGAATTAATTCACAGGTGTTTTCTGCAAAGAGCCTGTTGGCTACTCTAAGTGAATACTTTCTGTTGGGCTTGTTCAGGTTACTGAGAAGCCCCTGGAAGCCTTGATGAATGTCTTCTTCTGTGTTTAAACCAAGTGCCTGTGAAGAAAAAGAATGAAATATTATGAGCTCAGTGATAAAGCACTTTGGCTGCATAAAGGAGTTTTAAAGCTGAAGAGATGGCTCTGGTAGTGAAGTACATGAGGCTCTTGAGTTGGATTCTCACTATGCACATAAAAGTTGGGTCCAGTACTATATGGCTGTAATCCCAGCACTGGGATGAGAAGACACCTGCATTTACTGCTGTCCTCTGCCTAAAGAAGTGCATATCACCGTGTAAGCACACACACACACACACAGAGGCATGCACACACACACACACACACACAGGCATGCGCACACACACACACACACACACGCACACACACACACACACAGGCATGCGCACACACACACACACACACACGCACACACACACACACACAGGCATGCGCACACACACACACACACACACGCACACACACACACACACAGGCATGCGCACACACACACACACACACACGCACACACACACACACACAGGCATGCGCACACACACACACACACACACGCACACACACACACACACAGGCATGCGCACACACACACACACACACACGCACACACACACACACACAGGCATGCGCACACACACACACACACACACGCACACACACACACACACAGGCATGCGCACACACACACACACACACACGCACACACACACACACACAGGCATGCGCACACACACACACACACACACGCACACACACACACACACAGGCATGCGCACACACACACACACACACACGCACACACACACACACACAGGCATGCGCACACACACACACACACACACGCACACACACACACACACAGGCATGCGCACACACACACACACACACACGCACACACACACACACACAGGCATGCGCACACACACACACACACACACGCACACACACACACACACAGGCATGCGCACACACACACACACACACACGCACACACACACACACACAGGCATGCGCACACACACACACACACACACGCACACACACACACACACAGGCATGCGCACACACACACACACACACACGCACACACACACACACACAGGCATGCGCACACACACACACACACACACGCACACACACACACACACAGGCATGCGCACACACACACACACACACACGCACACACACACACACACAGGCATGCGCACACACACACACACACACACGCACACACACACACACACAGGCATGCGCACACACACACACACACACACGCACACACACACACACACAGGCATGCACACACACACACACACACACACACACAGGCATGCACACACACACACATGTGCCATATACATACACAAACTCCCTGTGTTTATTAGTGAACCTAATACCTAGAAAGACCATAAAGAATAATTATGAAGAAGCCTTTTCCATGTGTTCATCTTCATGTTCTCACGCACTCACGTTTGGAAATGATAATAATAAACAGTTATACCTGAAAAGGTCTTCATGAGAAAGAAAGTCCTGGCAAACCCTGCAGCAACAGTGACCACTATTTCCCACTGTGACAGGTATGCAAAGGGCTATTTCTCAGCTGAATGCCTCCTGCCTGGAACCCCTGGGGTCAGAGACCCATTTTAAAATTTCATTTTACATTCCAACCAAAGTTCTCCCTCCTACCCCTCCTCTCACCCACCCTTCGAGTGCCTCCCCAGCCCACCCTTCATCCACTCCTCCGAACAGGTAAGGTATACCATGGGCAGTCAACAAAGTCTGGCACATTACTAAGCTGGGACAGGACCAAACCCCTCCCCGCTGAGTTAAGGCTGAGCATGTCAACCCTTATACGGAATGGGAGAGACTCATTCTTAATCATCTGCAATGTTCACAGGAGGCTCTATAAATTAACCTGCTAATCCAGGCAGGATGTGGACTAGCTACACACATTTTACCCCCTTTAATATCTTAGCTGACGCAAGGCAGGTTGGACACAATTAAGAACAGGAATTACCCTTCCTTGCCAATGGATAACGACAAAGTCTGCTGCTGTAAAAGTAAGACAGATTGAGCAACCTGTGTTTCAAATAATTTCAGCCCCCTTTTCCCTTTGCTGTACTTGGGGCTGAGCCTAAGCTTTAATCCTAACAGCTTCCGGCTGTCTTTTTAAAACAACTCTTTTTTATTTGAAACTAAGTTGCGCAGGCTAGTCTTAAATAGGCATCCTCCTGTCTTAGTCTTCTTAGTAGCTGGAATTAAAGACCTGTGATACCAGGCCTAGAATGAAATTATTTATGCACCATTTTTGAAGTGAAGTTTGGACAAAATTTTGAGAGTTCCCTCTAAGTTACTACTGAGGAAAACTCATTGTCCCTCCCTCTTTAGCCCCTGCCCCAAGAAACCATGTGTGCATATTCCTACCCTCCCTTCTCAGCAGCTCTCAGGCAAGTGGGGCATCAGACAACTTTACCTGAGTTATCTGGACCGCGGTGTCTCCCTTCGCCCCCAAGAGGACCATAGCTAGAGCAGAGGAGATGCTCACAGGAGAGTAACAGACATTTTCTGAAGGGTTGTTTTGACACAGGGTCTTTAAAAGACGGATGGCAAAGGAGCCATTTGCTTCACACAGAGTATTCATGATGCAGAGTCTGGAGGCAAAGGAGAAATGGTACTCAACACAACATTGAAGGTTCATTTATCTGACTCAGGAAATCTAGGACTCTACTCTTAGTTCTCATTTCGAAGCTCCTAAGTATTTAAATTGGATTAAAAAATTCATTTTTGGTTGAAGTCTGTTCAGTTTTAAGATTATTATCAAAAGTGGTCAAGGCAGCAGACAAAACTATTGTCTGTGTTATCTGCAAAGGCAGAAGTTCAGATTATCAGGACTGCACACCCAGGACACAGCCAAGAGAGCTGGACTCTAGTCTCCTTCCATACTGCCCAGCTCCTCTCTCTGAAGATGGTGGAGTCAAGGATACAGAGAAGGAGGAGGAGGAGAGCGAGGGAAGAAGAAAACAGGCATGAGCATCCAGGTCCTCCAGCCTGGCTTCAGCAAAGCTGCATCCAAGTCTGCCTGTGAAGACTCCCCTGAGATGTTCAGGTGCACACTAGACACTGCCTCCATGTTTGCAGTGTCTGCAGGAAAGACACTGAGATGCTGAATGAGACCCTAAGTCAGGCTGGTGTCATCAGCTCTGCTGTGCAGTAGGGACCATCCACCTGCAGTGACTGCTCAGGTGTTCTTGATCAGCCGATGGCACCCAGGCTGCTTTACTCTTAAGCATGCTTCACTCCAGATGAATGGACAGCGTGGCCTAGAGTAAGTGACTACCCCAGGCACTGTAGCCCAGATCTGAGTCCCTGCACATCCCATGGCTGTGGTTTTGCTGTCCTATGACCTTGGAACACTGGAAGTGTGTTCCAGAGCACTTTTTACTGTGTTAAAATGCAGTTCAAATGTTCAGGGAACCTCTAAACATCATGACACATCCTTCTCTCTCCCAAGGGCGATGGACACAGCATCTTGAGAGAGTATCCAGACCCTCTGACTCCTCCCCTTAAGTCTCCCAAGGCTCTTCAGGAAAGCAGGGGCTGCTTTATTTCAATGACTTACCCTCTGGTTGGTCTTCTCACTTGACTCAGCTTACGACCCCTACACTCCTGCCCATCCTGTTGTTTCTTTAAAGTTGCTTCTATTCTTGAAGTGCTGTTTATTCCAAGTAGAAGGTCATCTGCCCCACCTCTGCCACTGAGTTCAAACTACTCACCCTTCTCTCCTTCACTCCTCTGCTCTGCTACTCTGGGGCAACTGTCCCATTCCAGGGCAGTTCATCACTCCTAAGTGCATTCCTTTATCTTACTGATTGCTGTCCCCACCATACTTGGAGCTCTCTGAAGGCAAGGGAGATATCTGACACCTAGGTTTTAAGCATCTGGAAGCATGCTCCAGATAAAGCGGCTTCTTGTCAACAATGAGTGAATTATTTTATAAATAGAAACAAAGAGTGCTCCGCTTTGTACTAGAGCCCTGAGGTAAGACACATTTTTCAGGTCCGAGAGCAGAGAGCAGAGGCAGTCAACTTGTCTAGGAGATAGGACCCAAAAGGAAACAGGACAGAGGCCAGTGGGGAAGGCTGCTGATACCCTGCAGCACCTAGGTCTGGCTGAGGAGGGGCCAAGACAAGTCTAGGACACCAGCCCTAGGACCAGCCTTGTTGCCATTGTCCAGCTGGGGTTTCTAGAAAAATCGCCTTTTTAAATTCCCATCAGACACCAACTGTCTACTCTCTTTTTCTAACTCTACAATTCTGGGGTTCCCTTCTGGACTCAGCCTTGTAAACCTCACCACTGTGGGTCCCATAGCCCCAACCCGAGACAGACACCCTCACTTACTGCTTTCGAGGCTTCTCAAAGCAGCATTTGCAGACTGGATGTCCCTGGAACTTAGCTGAGCAGCCGACCAGAGTCAGCTGGCCCCTTATTTACCACAGGGCTGGGATTTCTTGTTCAGAGCCCTGGGTCATCAGGGGCGGGGAGAAAAGCAGTTTGCTCTGGCCTCTGTGAAGAGGATGCAAGGGGGTGGGGCAAGAACTGAAAGCGAAAGTATTAGGAGATGCCTTTGCCTGGAGAATGCTAGATTTTAATAGCGCCCTGAGGGAGGTTGCCTATTATCAATATCCATTCCCTACTACCCCCACCCTTCTTTCCTGGCAAACACTAATGCATTTTCTGCCTGTATTTCCCAGCCACTGACATTTCTTGTGAATGAAATGTGTAGTCCTATGTGGTCCTCTTTTATGAATCCGACTTTTCCAAAACTCAGCATTAAGGAAAGGTTTAAGGCATCAGTGACTGGGGCATGGGACACAGACTTGCTACTCAATGCCACCTGGATGAAATGCTCTGGCCTTTTTTTCCCCTTTCATTTTCTATATGTAGTTCTGTTAGAAGACAGCCCGCCCTTTAAAACAATGCTCACTCTTGAGAGCACAGATTCCACAGATCTTTGCCATCTATGTCATCTTTCTTAAGTAAATCATTGGCATCAACTTCACTGTACTTTCTGTTTGATGGCACATGGTTCTCACTCTTCTCCCACCCAGAAAATCCTTTGAACGCAAAATCTACCACATTGTTTCTGTTCGGGGCTTGTAACCGGCAGGACTACAGCAACTTACCCTGCTACCCACATACCAAAGATCTAGTTCTTGTTCCCATGTGTGTGACTTTAGGGATGCCTTCCAACTGTAATGTGATAGGATAAAAGCATGGATTGCAAGGCTGCTAGACATGCCTTGTATTGTAAATAAGGTTTCTTGTAAGATTCCCAGGAAGCTGCAGGATATATTCTGCAAAAGGACAAAGATGCTGACCTGCCCCTGTCACCTGACAGAATGCACTCAGGCAGCACTCTGGTCAGCCCAGGGTTCCATGAGAACTATTCTGCACGGAGGTGCAAAGGACCCCTTAAAAGACAGACCCCAGCTCACTTATGCTCACTTTCTGCTCTTTCTGCCTCGTACTGTTCTTTTTGCTCTCTTACTGCTCTTACCCTTCTTTCTGCTTTTTCTCTCTCCCTGGTCGCCTCTCTTTCTGTTCCTGTCTCCTCCTTCTCTTCTGTTCCCTCTGTCTCTGTGTCTCTTTACCTCTTTTCTCTTTCCTTCCCCTCCCTCCCCTTTCTAATAAAACTTCTCACTCAAGCTCTGTCTGCCTGGCGCCCCCCCACAGCCACCCTCGTAGGCCATGGAATCTGCTATAATCCCCCATGCAGGACCCCCTTCCAGCTTTATCCTAGCATTTGAAGCAAAAGAACAACACTGTGTGTGCTTAGGCTATAAACATGATCACTGTTTTAACATTCTCATTTGACACATCTCTGTATAGAATGAGTATTGTGCATATTTTGCCACCCTTCAAAGGAAGTGTTACCTGGGTTGAGAACACTCTTAATCAGACTCAGGGTGAAGGGCTTCATTTCTTTCTGAATCTTCTTAATTTTGTTGGTCTTTCTGTGCTGTGTCAATACAGCATTTGTCATTCATTCATTTTTTGTCCTGGTTAAAGGTATTATTAATAATATTGTCTATGATAAGGTCAGCATTAGATTGTTTCTGTCTTTTATCTACTATTGAGTTTACAATGAACACTTATGTATAAATTTATGTGTCGACATATGATTTCCTGGAATTGCCCTGGGTACAGCCCAAGGAAAGAAATTTCTGGGTCATGTGGCCACTCTACAACTAACATTTTGAAGAAATACCCATCCGAGTTTGAAAACTTCTATGAAATTTTATGTCCCCACCAGCCAGGTATGAATTTCAGTTTCTCCATGCGTGGGTTGTCTTTTCTTATTTTAGCAATGGGTGTGAAGTGGTTTTACTCATCATGGTTTTTGAGTTTTATTTCCCTGTTGAATAATGATGTCAGTCCTAAGCTCATGTGCTCACTGGACATTTATAGATTATCCTGCAAGAATGTCTACTCAAACGCCTTTACTGTTCTTATCTGGGCAGTCACCATGATCATGATCATCATGTTGTCATTTAATTGCATGACACCAAATTAACAACTCTCTGAGTGTTCAGGTTAACTTCTAGATCTCTGTGGTAAATTCTAAATCTTTCCAAGATTAAAGATCCTTACACCCTATGGCACATGTCAGGTGACTCTGACATCTCTGTGAGATACAGGTAATGGAAAGATCCTCCTAGCCCTCCCTAGTCACAACCTTTGTCTGCCACTTCCTAGACCTGTGTGACCTCTGTTAAGAGAACTTCCTTTCATGCCTTCATGCCTCTCACTTAAGCTCCTTTGATCAGATGTAATCATTGGCGTCTTCATTGGTCCACTGCAGACCCTTTCTCAGGGTTCACTGGTTCCAAACGCCAAAGATGCTCTCACTATGGAGCATCTTTTTTTTTCAAGTTGTGTTCAGAGACCGTCAAGGCCCAACCCAGTTTTCTTTCTGTTCCTTCAGCTCAGAGGCAGGAGCCTGAGTCTTTGCCTTCAGCAGCCTGCCTGTAGGTCTCTGTCCCTACTTCCATGTGGCCTGTGTGCTGGACGTGTGTGTGCCTGTGCCTTCCTGTGTTCAGACTGAATGTGTCATTGTGTGCCTGGGTGTCTTCTGGAGGCTGGCTGCCTAGTGGTCCTCACCTACAGTGAATAAATGTGTCTTATTTGTCCATGGTTCCTCACAAGTTTTTCAACCTCCCAGCCTCCTCTGACCCTCCTCCTGTCCTGGAATCAGAATGTGGACCTCACAGTGGCAGGAGGCTGGCTCAGGCTGGGAAGTGCCCAACCTTTGGTGGCTGGAAACTGAGTATCTAATGTAAATGTTGTATGGGAAACAACACAGGAAAGTTTGACTCAATATATTTTAAGTGAAGATTGGGATGTGAAGAATTAGTTTAACAAGACACCAACTATGAATCCCAAATAAGAGTCATCATCATATACTTACACTGAAATGAATAAATAAATCAGGCATTTGTAATGCCAGAATTGAGAGGCAGAGACAAGTATATCTCTGTGAGTTCAAAGCCAGCCTGATCTATAGATCAAGTTCCAGAAAGCCTGGACTACATAGTGAGACTCTATCACAAACAAACAATAAACAAACAAACAACAATCATGCCATCAACAGTTAGAGTCACAGCCTGTGCTCCCACAGCCCTAACAAGCCAGGTTTGGCCATCTCTCCTTGAAAAGCAAATTAAAAGAGGCAAATTCATAGTGAAAGGAAGACAAAGGAGGATTAATCAATGTGACCACATTGGGGAGAGGGACAGAGTGACCCAGTGACCTCACATGTCCATCAGTCAGATTCCTGACCTGAGTTTAAAAGCAGAAGACCTGAGTAGATGGAGCTAAGCAGTCAAGGTGGGCCCTGCCTACCATTGCCCATCATTTCCTGATACCATTCTGTCCTGCAAGGACAACTATCAAACCTCTTTCCGGGAGACAGTTTTTCTCTAGGCAGCTCTGGAAATTTTGCTTTCACCAGCATGGTGTTCCTGCATGAATGGAAATTTATAGGGGAACAATGTTTAAATAGTTGTTAGCCAAAATAAAGTACCACTATCTCTTTAGAATATTCTCATGCTTGGGCTGGCAGGACTGTTACAGTTCTCCACTTGGTTCAAACATCCTGCCTTGTGGTATAATGAACATGGGACCTAGTCCACTTTCCAGAAAAGCTGGCCTTGGCTTTTCAGAAGGACCAGCTATTCAACACCTCAGAAAAAAAAAAAAAAACCCAGCTGGGGATGCTGTTGAGTTGTCAAGCACTAACCGAGCATGTGCAGAGTCTCTGAATTCCATCTCCAGAGCTCCCTCAGCTGTGTGGTAGTACAGTTCAACAAACCTAGCAATAGGGAAGGAGAGGCAGAAAGGACTGGAATTTTAATGTCACCCATATCTGGTTTTCTCCAATTTAACCTGGAAAGGGAACTGATGGGGAATGTACTTCTTTGTGTGTTTATCTTATTGATTGTTGAATAAAATACTGTTTGGCCAATGGCAAGCAAGGACTAGGAGTCAAAGAGGATTCTGGGAAATTTAGTAGAAGTGAGGATCTAGGCAGGAAACAGGAAGTATGTCCCCTTTCCCCTCTGCTCCTGCTCCAGCAGCACAATGTGATCCATCGGCAAGGAGGGACGCCAATAAAGCATCTGATAAGTCTTATAAAATATATAGATTTATGATAATTAAGACTGAGCTAACAGATGAGGAATCCTAGTCATTGGCCAAGCAGCTTTGAACCTAATACAAGTTTCATTTGGGCCCTAACTCAGGCAGGCAGCAGGGCTCAGGCGGCTTATGGAGGAAAGATTTATAATAATAGGGAACTTTATTTTGCTATCTTTCCTGTATTTGCCAGAGTCTGGAATTCTCATATGTAGTTTATTTTTTCTATGTGGAAAAACAGAGTCAATCTTAAAATCCAGATGACGTCATGTGTCCACATCACCTCCCTGCTTGCTAAACCAGGCACCTATGCAACTAGACAGTTGTAGGAGCCCACAAATGACTCAGTTTCCATCTGGAGTCTATTTTCACTTACAGGTCCTTTGAATTCAAGCTTTCTCATTTCAGTCTCTTTGAGAGTTGTGAGAAATTCCTGATTAAGCCCATGGGAAAGAACATATTATCTTAAGATGCAGGTTGGTGAAGGCCAGCAGAGAAGACACATAGAGATAGGGTATGAAGCTGCTTGCTGCTAGTAGGACTCGTATGATAGTTAGCAAGCCTGCCTGCTCTGATTCAAGGACTGAGCAGGGGATGATTTATTGACTATGCTGTTCTTTGTTCTGCTTTGCCTCTAGTCTGTATAAAAACAGGTCCTAAATTAAACTCCGGGTGTCCAGTGTGCCGAAAGGGATGGACTGGGCAGTCCTCCCGAATCTATCCTGTGTTTCTGTTTCTGTTTCTTTTATCTGCAATTTCTCAATCCTCATGTACCTACTCAGGTATCCAAGCTGACTTGTTGGAGCAGGCTTCAACAGACAGTGAATTCTAGTCCAAGGCATTCTGCAGATGTTTTTTCTTATAAATACACCTAACCTTT